AACAACATTACTTTAATTAACAGCGAATTCATCATCGACCATCAGATTCCGGAAAGCGGCGGCCCCAAATCGCTCGCGAAGCTCGTGTTTCCGTCTTCGTCGTGTCGAGACCTCGTCTCGGACCTCACGGCGGCAACTGTTTCCCTCATTCCGCGATAATCGATAAATCCACAGCGGAAATTCGCGCGGGTCTACTCTTCTCGACCTCTCTCTTCATCCGCCCCGGTACTTTCGCCTCGTCGAATTCTACCGAGTTACAAGCGAGGACCTTTACGACGACGACGACGACGCGCTGCATTATCTTGAACTGATTTCGGCCGGGATTTTCTGCCGTGGCACGTGTCTGGGATGCTCTCGCGTATGCCGAAGAGGCTTGCCGCCTCCGCGGCGGTGGAGCAAGAGAGGCCGTGACAAACAAATGCACCGCGTCAGCCCGGCGTGACACCCTTCCGTAGCCGGGACGGCGGCATGGGGAAGCATGCGAAAAGGGCGATGAGACCGGCGGAGGGCGGTTAAGTCTCCAGCACGGGAAGGATAGAGAACGAGAGAGAGGGAGGGAGGGACGGTCGAGCGGCGGAGGACGAGTGGGAGGATGAGGAGCAGGATGAAAAGTAGAGGATCGTGGAAGCCGTGCTCAAGTAGACAAGGGACACGTCAGCCGCCATCCTTCTACTCAGCCTTTTATAGATTATTCACGTACAATGGCCGGGGTGACAAGTGGCGCGGTGCCGGGGCCTCGATGGATCCCTCCTTTATCCTGGGAATGACTCTCCAGCGGCCCTCGACTTCCCTGATATACCGTCATAAGGTTGGACCTCGGCTGTGATACGATTTCTTTCGTCCTTCGTGCGGATAATTACCGTGGGTCAAGATTGGATCTCGCTCCCGGCTCCGGATAATCGGTCAAGAATGCGGGGCGGCGATTGTATCGCGGCTTATTAGCGGCGCGATCCGCTTAATTCCTCTGTTTCAATTAAACGCGACGTCGCGTTCGATAAGCAGTCATCGCGACGGAAAATCCACCGAAACCGCAATTTGTCGTTTTCGTATTATTTTTATCTCGCTTGATTTCGAAGAAACAAAAGAGTGGCGCTAACGGAATTACGAGACGAATCCTAATATTGCCGCGCGACCGATTATACGCGTATTATTGCGCGCAATTGATCGATATATACCATAGTGGTGAACAGCGAGGCGGACTGACGCAACCAGCGAGTTCTAATTAAATTCCGGCGCGATGCTCGGCGGAAAAAGGATGAATTATTCGCGCGGTTTTCCGAGGCCGGTGTCCATGATTTCGGTGTACATTGCGCGTACACCGTCATAAACGCGGTGTCGTAAAAGAGAGCGTGGGAGAGAGAAAAAGAGAGAGGGGGTGAGAGGAAGAGGGAACGAGGGTGAACGAGAGCGAGAGAGAGAGGAAAGAGAGAGGAAGAGCGAGCCGCCCGGGCGGCCTCTCGTTTCGTTGTATGCAAATGCGAACCGCTCCCGCTATGTTCTCGCTCGTGTTGTTTGGCGTTTTAATGCTGATTGGACGACTGCCGATTCAGCGGCTGTTCGTTTGCCGCGATTGTCGCTTCGACCGGTCGTCCCGCGAAAATCTCCCAAAATTCGCCGCGTATACCGTCGTAACCGCTCGAGCGCGCGAATCGCGAGCTCACTAATGCCGGAACAGCCTCTCGTGGGCGCCGTGAGTCGGAACACACGTACAGGCCGTTGTTCACCCTCTCACCGATCCCGAGCCCGTTCTATTGAGGCTCGATTTTTCTTTATCAGAAATATCGAGGTAACTGGGAATTCCGGCTTTAAAAGCGCTCGACGAATGTAATGCTTTTAACGAATTAGCATTCGCGTGCATGCATTTTTCAGCGATTTCATCAAAAAGTGTGTATTTGCAAAATTAACACTTTTTGGAATGTTTCTCCTTTTATTTTCTTCCTCTTGAAAAGCTGTGGGAAAATGACGGTTGAAACTTCCGTCGCAGGGAAACAATGTACTACGTAAATATTTATTTGAACGCAATATCTTAATTTGTAAATGAATTATTGAATGCAAATATAAAATGATTCTAAATTTAAGAATATATTCATTTAAATTGTGCGATATTTCTTTCCCACTGAAAAAAAACCTGGTGGTTTGAAATTTAGATTTTTCTGTCGAGAAAAAAATATTTTCTAAAACTAAAATCTGATATTCTCAATATTATGAATTTAATACCAGTCGCAATTGTTTTAACACATAAGTAAAATGGGGTTATATGAGGTTTTGTTTTCGGTGAAATCAACGATTAGTGGCTTACTCTATATAATAAAATAAATTTTTCATTGAAATGAAATACTATTCCTTCTAAATAATATCGTTTTTTTTCTATCAAACAACATGGTTTACTCTAGTGAGAAAACATTTTCATTCAAACAATATGATATTTGATATTAAATTATATTGTTTACATATTAAACCTAAGTCAACAAGTGCTATGTTGAATCCAGAGGAATCTTTTTCCTGTGTACGATGGTTTCAATCCTTTATGTGTGGATGTGAAAAGCTAAAAATTGCGGAATAATGAAAAGTTTCGATCCAGGAAATGGTATAGCATACATAACATCGATTACACACGTATTCGCGCACGAATACCGACGATAGGGATATCGCGACGTCCGCGGTAGTCCGTGGGCGATTGGCTGTGAACGGAAAGCGAAACCGGTTGTTCTTGATGTTACCGGAAACGCAGGGGGTTGCGCTTCTCGAACGCCGCCGACGTGGAATAACAATCGTCGAGGTTTACCTTTCCGATTTCGCGTACGCGATGCGTGCGTGCGTCGTCGTCGTCGTCATTGTCGTTTTCGTTCCCTTTACTGGTGCTGCGTGCCGCCGTTGGAGAGGCGTCGCGTCGCCGATTTCGTTCGAACGTCGAGTATCGCGTGCACCAAGAAATCGATGTAAAAGGCAGTCGATGCCGCCACCACGCACGAACATCGTCGAACCATCGGCAAACGTAGGAAAGGGGTTACGGCGAAGAGAGTACGACGAGGAGGATGAGGAGGAAAAGGAGGAGAGCGAGGTTCGGTTGAAGGGTGTGAGAGTCGAAGACCCGGAGGGGTCGGCTCCATCAAAAATTCAATCCATACGAGTATTCGTTGTTTCGTCGGTGGGAAGGAAGCGGAAGCAGCAAGAGAGGCGTGAAACGTTTTGCAGAATTCTCGAGACGTTGCCGGCAGGTCCGGGGGGGTTGCTTCGGGAGCGGATGAAGGAGACGAGGGCGGCAGGAACGGGGGAGGGGGTGCGACGGCGGCGGAATACGCCGTTCCGTAGGGAACGGAGAGACGGAAAAAGGGAGGCAGTCGGCAGAGGAAAGGAGGCGGAAAAGGGGTTTGCGCACGCGAGTAAGGAGAAGAGGAGCAAAGAGAGCCAGAGACAGATAGATACATGGAGAGAGAAAGGGGAGTGCGCGGGGCTCGACGGGGTTGGCTCGGTGGCGCGTTTGGTTCTTGAAGCATGTGTGCCCCATAAATAACATGTAAATATTTTCAATAACTGCCGGGGCGGCCCTGGCATGAAAAATGCAAACCGCTTTGCGTCCGGCCCTCGGCGCGTTGCACTCTCGCCGCCCTCGCCTCGTAGTAGTATCGCCCGTCCCCTCGTTCGTTTCGGATCGGCCGGCGGCACATCAACCCCCTTAGCTCACGGCATCGAACTGTCTTTTAATATATCCGTGTGTACACACCGTGCCTTCGCGTCAAATTTATAACGCCGCCCCCTCGGCGCGATATGCAGTTCGCTTTAATCCTTTGGTTTCCTCGCGGCTCCTCTGAATCTGCTTTCCGTGGGCTTGCGAAAAAAAAAGAAAAAGAATAGAAGTTATATCAGCGCTCCCAAGTGCGCGTCCAATCCTTCCATTCGTGTAAGAGAGAATTTGTTTTGAAAAATTCCCAGGAATTAAATTTTCTCATTGTACCATCAGCTGTGCTCCAAACGGCGGCAAAAGCAATAATAGACAACATTATTGTCCATGGCCGTATTGGCGATGAATAATGAATATCGGAGTGCAGTCGCACTGAATGTTTAATAATTATTGCTCTTGATTGGTATATTCTCCTGGATTGATCAAAAATTTAAAAGAATACTCCAATCATAGACAATAATCGCTAAGCGCTTACTGAGCCGCTTTTTTCGTTTAATACAGCCATTCTTTTAGCACCACCAAGAAAACAAATTCCATTATATATGTTCGTCATATAGGAAAGTTTATTTTCCAACTTTCGAATTTCGGCAAAACCGGACAAGACCGGGCAAAATCGGGCAAAACTGAACGATCGGACATTCGTACGGAAAACCGGATGAGTGGCAACACTGTCTATTATAAAAATGATGATGGCATGGATTGTGAATGTTATTTTGACTTTCATCGCGTTATCGTCGTCATCGTCATCCTTGTCATCGTTTCTGCAGCTGAGACCTCACACGGTAAGCTGCGCCGACAACGTGGCGCGCATCGAAACTCAACAACGCAGCTTGCGCGCGAGACGTTTGGAACTTCCTTCTCCAAATAATTGTTCCAGCGTAATTCTCAATCCGCGGAAATAGAGAGAAGCGGCGTATTAATCAGTTCCGCTAATGGCTACCTTTAATCGCGGGGAATAAAAGGGCCGGAAATTAGCCATCCGGAAAATTAATACCACCATATCTCGCGATTTACGGGAGTGAATTAATACGGAAATGTTATGCGCCGCGCCAGAGCGCCGGCTTTCTTTTTACGATCGCGCGCTTTGATGTATGCGCGCTACATCGAGATATGCATCTCTCGCAACGTATGCCCCGCATATGACTCGAGCGAGTGCGCGTGCGTGCGTTGCACGACCGCCGCTCTCGTGCACATACGTACGCTCACGATGAAAATAACATTACCGTCAGGAGCTGCTTGCTTCATTAATGTCCCTTATATTCGCGAGCGACGTGGCTGCGCCGGCCGTATTAAACGTTCTCCTTTCGTTTGTTTGCAGGGGCTTTGGATTCATCACATTCGCAGACCCCGCGAGCGTCGACAAAGTGTTAGCGCAAGGCAATCACGAGCTGGACGGCAAGAAAGTGAGTAATCTCCGCATTCTGCCGGATTAATTCAAACAACCCGGCCGCTTTCTGGTAAAAGTCGGGATCTCTGAGTTTTCTACACGGAAAAAAACAAGATTAGCTTCAGTAGCTTTAAATCGGTTGTAATACATGGTCACCTAAAACTTTAGCGACGGAAGCAATTTTAATTGCTGCAGTCAGCAAATTCTTTGGCCGCTGCGACGAATGTATTATCGTAAATGACATTTAAGATAGTAAATTAGCTGTTACAGCTGACGAGTTCCCTACTGCAACAATTAAAATTGCTTACACTGCTAAAATTTTAGGTGCCCATATGTTACAATTAAATTAGCTACTACAGATAATATTCTTTCCCGTGTATTAAAACATATTGCGAGCCTACGGCAAACGTCCTATAAAGGAAGTGCGAGAATAGCCTAAGATGTTTTTAAGATAAATCGAAAGCTATTAAAAAGAACTGAAATTATTTTTGACTGAGTAACGCTGTTCCATATTTTATCCGAATTTCCTCTACATTCGCTCACAATTTTGTGCGTTCTGCGTAAAAATTTCGATACATAAATACGTAAATTTGTAGAAATATTTTCTGATATTCCAAGTTTCCGTAGCGTGTGGAATAACGTTTGCTCTTATCAATATTTCGGAGTCGCATTTTTCGCCAAATTGCTTTCAGCGTTTCAGCGAGCATTCATTCGCTTCGCTTCATTAGGGAAAGAAGCGAATATTTTTGCATAATATTCTCTCTTTCGAGCGATAACAAGTATGCAAAAACGCGTTCGTATCGTTCGGGAACTCATTATACGTGTCTCTCAAAGCGTTCGTCGCGTTCACTGCGTAATCCCTGATAAATCCGTGCTGCGCGAGGGGTGCGTTCGCGCAGGGGGTGGGGTGACCGGAGACCAGAACGTTACATAATATTTTTGGTGCTATCTAACGAAGTATCGGAGTAACCCGAATGAAGTACCGGCCGTAACTCTCGCCGAGACCGGCGACGTCGACAGGTTCCGGCGGTGTGTCGAGGCTCTTCTTCGTCCGTGCGAACGTTTTACAGCCCGTCCTGGCAGTCGGAAGGGGCGATTTTTTCCTCGAGACCCTCGATTACGTACGTAAACGCCCGACACTTACTCGGCCGGCCGCGAAAAGCCACCACTTCGCACGAGGAGACGCGCAAGAGCCGACGAGGGGTACGCTTTAGGAAGGAAAAAAATGCGGACGAAAATAAAAAGGATACAAATTGCCGTGATCGAATGTGCGTCACGCGAGCAATTAATTTTCACGTCCGACCGAAGCCGCCGTCCCGAGATAATTGAAAGAGCATACCGCGCGAGTCGATTGATGAAACCGATTGATAACCGCGGTCCATAGTTACATCCCGATCCGGGACGCGTCCCTGTCATCGATTCCGCTGGCAAAATTTTATCCGCGTTGGAAACTTCATTAATTTAGCGTCAAACGTTGTTTCGTCCCGTTCGCTGCGCTATCCCGCCGACATATCTCTCGTCGACGGGACGCGTTTTGCAATGGCCGGCCATAACGGCGGCCAGCTCGACGGTTAACAAAACGCCAGCCGTCTTTGTGCACTCCGGAGAAGAGGCGAAAGAATCCGTCGTCGCGCGCGCAGATCGATCTTCACATTTGCCTGGCCGATAAATTCTCAGCCAGACGCCATCGGCCGCGCCGTAACTTGTTGATATCAGCTCGGATTATCCGTCATACCCCCTTCTCCCCCCCCCCCTCTCTCCCTCTCTTTCTTTCTCTCTTTGTTGTATCTCCGTGCTTCGAGAGATCCTTCCAGGTCTCACGATTACAAACGGTAAATCGCGTTGTGGCGGCGGCATTCAGTTCGCCGATATCGCGCGCAGCTGCTGAAACTACGCTACTGATTGAATCTTCAGCCGTGAAAAATTCCCGCCAAGCTCTCACCGTGGGATGCCGAGCCGAGGCTCCCTGTATCGATTCCCGCCCTTTCCCGAGGGATACCTCGTGCGCGACGACGGTGGCGGCAGAACGACGAGGACCGACGGGTGGGTGCGGCGATTAATCGTGGCGTTTGGCAAGCGCGGCTTCACCTCATCCTCCTCCCTCGGCAAGGGCTCAGACAATGCTCGTGGAATAATATCGTAAGACGGCGGACGGGTTGCACGGGGCGAGAGAGAAATAGTTGCGGACATTAGCTGTCCACGGAACCATAAGTAGAGCGACTCCGAGCGCCAGAGCGACCGCCTAAGTGGCCCCGAATACGCTTAAGCGAGGGCAGCCTCGGTCGTATCCCCGGCTCGCATAAATTTCGCGTAATTCGCTCCGGCTAATGCAAATTGCGAATGCACGGATCCGGAAGCTAACACCTTCCCGATAGCGGGAAGAGAATATCGCGCGTATAGGGCAACCGCCGGCGCATCCTATTAAGGCTTCCTCTTAAGGGATGAGACGTCCTCACCCTCTAGCACTTCGTCGGCCTCTCTCTCTCTCCCTCTCTCTCTCTCTTCCTCTCTCTCTCTCTCTGTTTCTCTGTCTTTCTGTTTCTCTCGCTCTTCGAGGAAAAAGGGTGAGACGAGGATGTACAAGGAATGCAAACGCGCGGAAGCGCTCGCTGCTTTGATTCGCTGACAAGTTTCGCCGCATTAATTAGCGCGGCTTTCGCCCCCGTCCCCGCGTTAACGAACGCGGGGACTCTTAACTCGTGTCGACACGCGAATATAAATAAAGTGGGACAAGAGAACGAGACACGGTATCCCGGTGGCAAGTCTGGTTGTCACGGGGATACGGTTTCCCTCGCTTTGCTTTGTTCGCGCGGATATCGTAGAAATATTGCCTGAAATCTGATCCAAAGGGCCGTGCAGTTTATCGTCGATGCCTATAAACTGAATATATTAATGGACGCTCCGTTCACGGCAGAGATTAAAGGAGATTCCAGTTAGGAGATTTCAATTAAATTAACGCCGGACATAATCGTGCCGTCGCGTGCCGCAATGTTTGGAAATGTCCCATAATGTATAGTGCGGCATGAAATTACGGTTATTTCGGTATCCATTAATTCTTGCGCATCCAATGGATTATGAATTTTCGATGGGAGAAGGGAAAATCACTCCAGCGAAATTTTGCTGAAGCATTCGAAAATACGTTTGAACGAAACGCAAATCGAAAAAAATTGCATCCTTTGTCGAAAATACTAGAAGAACCTATAAGTAGTCGAATATTTACAAGACTTTTCTTATTAGTATTTTCTTATTGCATTATTTGTATAAGTGTACCGTAAAAACTTTTATATTAAGAATAGTTCACGAAACTTTTGTACTACTTTAACAAGGTTTTATGCTACTTGGATAATATATTAACATTATGTTTATTACTTTTTAACGTATTCCCTATGTTAAACACAAATATTTTTATAGACCATTTTTAACACAAATATCTTTACTGTGCCAGGTAGTCAACTTGTTTTATCATTGATTTAAAAAAATAAAAAGAAAAAACAAAAACTATGATATGTTAATATCTAATTGATTACTGAACGATTAAATATGTTTATTGTATTACAATTTCCGTGCATTAGCTCTTACTGGCTCATAATATTTTTATCTGAGAAAAACTTTGTTTAGGCTTTTATAAATACATATGTCCTTGATTTTGAAATACTTGACTGCTTATACAATCTTTGATACAATTTCCATGAGAAATTCGAACGATTCTTTCGTCTTGCGAGATAAAATATTTTCGCGAACGTGCGAGCGCGTCGTGATGTGCACGGCATTTCGGTTATATAACATTATCGAAAATCAGCACGGCGGTGGTTCGCACGCGAGAGCGATTTTGCGGGTCGATACGCCAGACGTTTCCCTCCATCTGGCATGGACAATGATTTCGCAACGTGCCGCGTAAGCAACGATCGCGGCACAATGCCCCGACCGGACCGATCAGAATAGCCAGCAGATTCCGCTTAATCGGGCTGGCGGCTGATTAAAAAATGCGCGGGTCGAACGTGCGCGTCCTCGTTTGCGTCCCGTTTGATCTCGACAGGCGTAGCGGAAGTAGCCAAATCGGCTGTACTCGCGCGTGTTTTGTCCATAATGATGGCCGCTCTCGTAATACGGGGTCCCGGAGCTTATTTTCCATTCTCCCTCCCTCCTCTCTTTCTCTCTCTGAAAGCGGCTCTCATACCATACTCATTTCACGCAATTGATATTGTATGATTTTCGTAGTCTTTTATTATTTTATTTTCTTTTTCTTCTGATGTAAGAATTAACGCTTGAAAGGATTCTTTCTAGAGCGCTTGAGATAATTCTTTTTAAAACGCAAAATAAATAAATTTATACGGAAAAAAATTAATATCGATTCAAAACTCATATTTTCATATATGGGTAAAAATATACATCTATAATCTTATGTGAAGATAAAATTTGTTTAGACGATAAAGTTCTATATAGTTCCATTAAAAATATCATATTTTTGTTATTCAGAAATAATGTTCATGAATTAAAAAGGAAAAACATTGGATATAAAGAACGATATCTTTAAACTAAGAATTGTATCAATTTGACGATCGTTTTTTCTATCCAATATTTTTTCCCCTCAATTCATGAAAATTATTTTTGAATGACAAGAATATAATAGTTTTAGTGGAACTATATAGAATTTCTTCATGTAAGCAAATTTTATTTTCATATAAGATTGTATATTCTTGCTTATATATGAAATAGATAGTATATTCTTGCTTATGTATGAAAATATGAGTCTTGATACTAATTTCTTTTTCGTATATCTATCTATTTTCTCTCCCTCTCTCTCTCGCACAGATCGCCGAGTTCCGCAGATTAGAGCGTGAACTTGGAACGGAGAACTCGAAGGACAGTGATGGGGTTTTAGATTAGGAGCGTCGTGGAAATCGAAGGACTTGGTGAATGTTAAGCTTGCGAAAGCACAGTCGAATACAACGAGATTATATCGTCCGATTAATCTGAGATGAACTTTGTTTCAGCGAAGCGCCGGATATTTCAGAC